TTAAACAAAGGATGAATTTGCATAGTCCGTGGAGGTCTATGGAGAAGGCTTCTTGCACACTGTGCCGTGAAGGCATCTGATGGCAGATGGTCACAACGAAGGGAGAAGGGTGTCTGGCAGGTAGAATGAAGATTGCACCTGCCCTTGCGTGTTTTGGGCACTTGGTGGAAATGTGGATGACTGTGGAGATGGAGTCAACGTTGCCTGAGTATAGCTGCAAATCTTTCCATCTTGCCCCTTCCCCTGACTCCTTCCCAGGATTTGAGCACCAGGCTGTGCAGCACATGAAGGCATTTATTGACTGCATGAACAATCAATACTGTAATCACTTTGTGCAATGATCTCCAGCCCTGGATTTCCTTGTGCTGTATCATCTGCTGCCAATAAACTGTGCCCCCACCCCATGGCTCGGGATGAGAAACCTAAGGTTCCTGTAGCTCGGTGGTTCTTAGTCTTGGCTGCACTTTGAAATCATCAGAAGCTTTAAAGGAAACACTGATGCTTGAGCCTTGCCCCGGGGAACTGTAATGTAGTTGATATGGGGTGGGCCTGGGCCTCAGCACTTTTAGAGCTTCTCCAGTATCTCTGTTGTGTGCCGCCATCACCAAGGCCCACTGTGTGAGTTCCTGCTGGACTCGGGTGGCTGTTGGCAGTCTGACGTTGGTGGGGAATGAGATTGCTGGCTCTGACAGAGCAGAGCATTGAGACCAGGGCCCAAGACATGCTGGAGATGTTTGTTTCTCCTGAGTCTTTATTTTGAGGCCCTGCCCTCCTGTGGCTGATCTGGTAAATGAATGTCAACCACAGTGTACATGGCAGATGATAGCTTCATGTTCTTCCTTTTCCAACTGGCAGGGACTCTCAGGACCTTCACCCGAAAGAAGTCCTGACTGGCAGACTCACGGGCTCTATGGCAAGGCCCATAGGGCAGATGGCTTGCAGTAGCCTCAAACCAGATTCACCCTCTGCTCTTCTTCATCAAAGCAAGTGGCAACTCCATCCCTCCTGTCTTTGTCTTACCACCCCCCCCCATCCAATCCACCAGCAAATCATCTTGGTTCAATCTTCAGAATGTATCCAGAATTCACTCACTTTCTATCATTTCTACTATTAACTGTCCTAGCCCAAGTGTTCAGCATGTTATTTAGATCATCACAGCCATAAATACTGCAGTTAGAGACTTCAGAGTGATCTCCTTCCTCTTGGCATTGTCTGAATACTATCTGTTTTTCACAAAAGAGCCATCATTTAAAATGCACATCATACCCTGTCTGCTGAAAACCCTCCAGTAGAGTGGAATCCAGAGTTCTCACCCTGGCTGATCAGGCCCTTCCTGACCCAGCCTCCAGCTGCCTTTCTGAACACACTGCTTCCTGCTCCCCCTCCATCGCTCTGTGCCAACCATATTGCACTCCCTTCCTGTTCCTCGACACCCCAACCCTATGTTCACCCCAGAGCCTGTACTCTTCTTTCTGCCTGCCTATAAGCCTCTTTCTCCAGACGGTTTCATGGCTGTTTCCCCTCCACTTCCTGCATGTCTCTGCTTAAATTTCACCTTCTCAGATTGGTCTTCCCTAGCCATGCTGTCTAAAATAACACCCTCGCCATCCCACTTCTGGGTACATAGCCAAAGAAATTGAAATCAGTATGTAGAAGGAATATATGCACTCCCATGTTCATTGCAACACTATTTACAATAACCAAGATATAGAAGCAGCCTAAGTATCCATCAACAGATAAAGTAATGAACTTGTTGTAGGGGCCGGCACTGTGGTGCAGTGGGTTAAAGCCCTGGCCTGAAGTGCTGGCATCCCATATGGGCATCAGTTCAAGTCCTGGCTGCTCCTCTTCCTATCCAGCTCTCTGCTAAGCCTGAGAAAGCCGTAGAGGATGGCCCAAGTCCTTGGGCCCCTGCACCCATATAGGAGGCCTGGAAGAAGCTCCTGGCTCCTGGCTTCAGATCAGCTCAGCTCTGGCCATTGCAGTCATTTGGGGAGTGAACCAGTGGAATGGAATACCTCTCTCTCTCTCTCTCTCTCTCTCTCTCTCTCCCCCCCTCCCTCTCCCTCTCCCTCTCCCTCCCTCCCTCCCTCTCTCTCTCTAGCTCTACCTCTCTCTGTAACTCTGTCTTTCAAATAAATAAAATAATTCTTTAAAAATAACTTGTGTAACATATGTATATTATACAATATATACTTATATGTATTATATGTATATGGAATGCTATTCAGCCTTTGAAAAAGGAAATTCAGTCGTTGGTAACTACATGGATGTCTGTTATGCTATGTGAAATAAGACAGGTACAGAAAGAAATACTGTATGATCTCACTTAGATGTGGAATCTTAAAAATTTTAAGTCACAGAAGTAGAGAGTAGAAGTAGAGAGTAGCATGGTAATCACCAGAGGCTAGGAGGAGCACAGGGCAGGGATGGAGAGATGCTGGTCACAGGACACAAAGTCCCAGTTAGACAGGAGGGAGAGGGTGTTAAGATCTATTGCTCAAGATGATGACTAGAGTTCATAAAAATGCATTGGATATTTCAAAATTGCTAAAATAACATCCCCACCATTGCCATCTTCACTCATCCTCCTGTGTAGCACCTTGGTGTGCTTTGCTTTTCCTCCTTATTCTCAGATGATGCTTTCCAGGATCCCCAGTGAATGCCTGAAACTGCAGGTTATACTGAACCCTATATATACCATGTTTTCCCTAGACATACATTCCTGTGATAGGGTTTATGTTAAATATGAGGCACAGTAAGAGATTAGCAATAGCTAAAATAAAATAAAACAATTATAACTATTTAACAAAAGTGACTTAAATTGAGGAGGGGATTTGGCGTAGAGGTTAAGTCACTACATGGAACACCTGCTTCCCATATTGCAGTACCTGGGTTTAAGTCTTGGCTCTGCTTCTTGTCCAGCTTCCTGCCGATGCCCACTCTGGGAAGCAATGGGTGATAGCTCAAGTACTCCCATGTGGGGCATCCAGATTGAATTCCAGGCTCCTGGCTTTGGTCTGGTGCAGCCGTGGCATTTGGGGAATGGACTAGCAGATGGAAGCTCTCTTTCTGTCTCTGTCTCTTTCTTTCTGCCTTTCAAATAGAAATGAATATATAAACTAATACATTGAAAATAAATAAAATTATGGTGCTAATAGCAGTAACTCTTATTAGAAAAAAAATAAAACTTACGGGTTGGGTGTTGAAATACAGCCAGGTAAGCTACTGCTTGGGACACCTTCATGCCATACCAGAGTGCTTAGAATAAAGTCCTGCTTCTCCTTCCAATCCAGCTTCCTGCTAACGTGTCCAGGAAGTTAGACGATGATGACTCAGATACTTGGGTTCCTGTCACCTACAAGGGACACCCAGTTGGAGTTCCTGGACCTTGTTTTCAGCTTGACCCAGCCCCACTGTTATGGGCTGGAGAGTGAACAGTCAGTCCATGAAAGACACCCCTTTGGCGCGCGCGCGCTCGTTCGCTCGCTCGCTCACTCTCTCTTTTCCTCTCTGTCACTCTGCCTTTCAAGTAAACAAATACAACATTTTTAAAAACCCTTATGAATTTCTTATTGCTGGACTTTTTCAATTTAATTTTTTAATCTTTTTATCTTGTTTAAAGATTTTATTTATTTATTTATTTATTTGAGAGCCAGAGCTATAGATAGGGAGAGGGAGAGACAGAGAAAAAGGTCTTCCATCCGTTGGTTCACTCACCAGATGGCCACAACAGCCAGAGCTGGGCTAATCCAAAGCCAGGAGCCAGGAGCTTCCTCCTGGTCTCCCACACGGGTGCAGGGGCCCAAGCACTTGGGTCATCTTCCATTGCTTCCCCAGGCCATAAGCAGAGAACTGGATCAGAAGAGGAGCAGCAGGGACAGAAGCTGAGGCCGATATGGGATGGCGGTGCTGCAGGTGGAAGCTTAGCCTACTATGCCACAGTGCTGGCCCCTCCATTTGATGTTTTAGACTGTGGGTAACTGAAACGGAAAAGCAAAGCTGTAGCTAAGGAAGAGCTACTAGAGTCCTTATTTACCACTTGAAGGCACTTGTTTAGGATCTCTCTGTCCCTGCTGGGGGCAGATGCTCCATAAGCCCAGGGTGTTTTGTGTGTCTGTTCACCGCCATACCACTCATCATCTGAAATAGCACCTGGTGCATAGTAGGCCCTCCCTAAATTTGTCAAATGAATGAATAAATGCCCTCGAAGACATGGGGATGCCCGTCAGCGTGCCTTCTGCATTTCCTGGCTGCTGAGCTCTGTGGAGCTCGATAGGGGCGCTGGAACTCAAGTAGCCCACGGGAAGCATTACGTGCCAGTGTTTGCTCATCACACTTCCTACTCAATTGGTGGGAGAGTTTTCAAGAACTGGAGAACCTCACTGATTCTTCGGGTATTTCTTGTAGAATTGGATAAACAAAGTAATACAGAGCCCGGAACTAGAAAGCCAGGATAGCTGTGCTAAATGTCTCACATCTCTATTCCCAAATAGTATAAAACTGTGCATAAATCATTTTGGCGTGCTAGATCTCCTTTCTGCCACATCAAAAACAATATTTGTTATGAGCCTCCTTCCTAGGGGCAGGGCATGTCTGTGAGATGAATAAGATCATTTCTGTACATCCTTTGGGGTGCTTGTGTTCAGATGTAATAAACATCATCTAGGTTTAGCTCACATTAAGAAAACCGAACATATAAAAATTCAATGTATATTATTACTAAAGAATTCTTGCAAACTCCCCTAGGCCTGGAGAATTAATAACGGGAGTCAATTTACCCAAATCTGATTCATGCGCAGCTTTTTTGCAACACACCAATCGTAACAGGAGAGCACTTAGCATATCACCTTGCACCTAGTAGGTAATCAATGTTTATGTATTGACCCCTTAGTCACTAAGTGAGGTGCACCTATACTGGAGCCTGTTAACTCTGATATGACAAAAGCCATGTTTCCCCCAGAGATGGAGAACTCACCCACCCTCTGTTCTTCTTCCAGTCCCCCAAATCTGCCTTTATCAGTGCTGCGAAGAAGGCCCAGCTGAGGTCCCATCCTGTGAAAGTCCGATTTTCCGAGCAGGTGGCAGTTGGAGAAACAGATGCAGTAAGTGCAGCCTTGGCCGGAATCAGCTCTGCCGTCCCAGTCTCGCTCGGAGGCTCCTCATAGTAGATGGTGTCACGAAGGGGTTGCAGCGGGAGGGTGGAGAACGGAGTGTGTGGTGCACAGAGGCCCTGGGCACTGGGGGAGAAGGAAAATATGTTGATTCATTCAGGATCCTCTTGATGCTTAGAAAAAAATTTCTGTCTCTAGCACAATAGGTTACGCTCAGAGCAAGTGCACCAGAAACATTTTTTTGGCAACTTGAGAGAAGTGGGAAGGAAGTGATGGTTTTCTGAAGATTCAGGGGACAAGTGGCTGGGGAAATTGTAGCTCTCTTCACATGTAAGTGATACAGCACATCCACATCTTGACTGGAGAAGACTTTGCAGTGATGGGTGAAGCAGCCTGTGGGAAATGATACAGACTCAAGTTGCCAAGTTTTTATTAGGCACCTGCTGTGTTCCCAGCACCACGGGGGATGCAAAAAAATATCCCTGTCGCCTGCCACTGGATACCTCTCAGCGATGCTATAGGTTCAAGTGGTTCACACTGAGGCATTATAGAATCTATGGCTGGGTAGTAGGCATCCAAAAGAGCAAGTAATTGACAGCTCATGCCATGCAGCTGTCAAGCTGGGGGTGCTGGCCAGCCCACCAGCTTACCCTGGGCTTTGTGGGGATTCCGTGCAGTGAGCTGTCTACTCCAGATGTGCAGATGAGAAAGGGTAAGCAGAGCACAGAAAGATATGTGTTCATCAGTGATGGCTTCTGGCCCAGAGTCTCCCAGGAGTCTGCGGAAGGTGGTGATAGCTGCTGGGGGCGAGGGGTGGAGATAGCTGCAGCTAACAGGCACTGGCGTGCTTTTGTAGGCTGTGGCAGGCTAGGCTCATAAGGGGCCCTTGGCATTTATGTGCTCAAGCACAGCCGCCATTCTTGAGAGAGGACTGAGCAGGGAAACCAGAAGTATGTCTGTCGCTGCCATAGCTCTCTGAGGGAAGAAGGGACATGCAAATGTCTTCCATCTCCACGTCCTTGATTCTGTTCCTGGTATGAGGAAGGCTGGGAAGCCTAGGGCACTAATGGGTCCCACTAAGCAAGCTGCCTGAACAATTGGGGTCCATGTCCATCCTAACAGAAAGAAAAAATGAATAGAAGTGGGAGTTTGTGAGCGGAGAATTAAAAAGGGGTAGTATGGAGGAGTGAAGGGTGATAGCAGATAAGGGTGAAGCAGATCGCAAAGTCCAAGTCCCTGTGAGGACATTTGTGTCCTAAGCCCTTGGGAACCCAGAGGACATATGACTTGAATTTCAAAAGTATAAGCAGGTGCTTCCTCTCCCATCTCAACATTAGCAGAGTAATTAACGGAGGCCAAGCCATCCTGTGAAGAACTCTCACTCCTCCCTTCCCATCCTCCCCATCCCCCTTCTCGTTCCTTCTCGTCTTCATTTCCTTCATTCTCCCCTCTCTTCCTCTCCCTTCTAGCCTCCTTTCTCCACTCTCTCTCCACCATCCCTCTGCTCTGTATGCTTTTCAGCCAGGCCGCAGGCAGAATCAAGCCACCACTCCAATACAATCTGAATGCAAACAGCCCAGAGTAGCTAAGACGCACCTAGAGTTACTTCTCTCACTGTCTCCTGGACAGACCACCGGACATGGCATGAGGCCCTTGTCTAGGAGAGAGACATGAATCTTCCAACTCACCATGTTCAGGAAATCACCTCATGTCACAACAGCATCCCGGCTGCCGCTGCCGCTACCATAGACCCATAGCAGCCTCGCTGATTGGAACCTGGGGGACTCCAAGTCCAGGTGACTCCAGGCTGTCCTATCATCCCTTTCCCTCGGTGTTCCAAGGCTTTATTAAGCAGCCAGAGCAAAAATAAATCCTGTGGGCGTTCCTTGCCAGCTCTATTTTTAAGCAAAATCAATTAAGTAATTATCCAAGTCCAACCCAGGGCGCTAAATAAAACCTGCCACTGCTGAGCATCATCAGCCTGGGGATCGAAGACTTCTGGGCTTGCCAGGAACCAGCATCTCAGATCAGGGAGAGCCCAGGGAGTTCACACTTTTTCAACTTTCTATCCCGTTGCTTCCCTCTTTAGTTTCAGCACAGCCAAACTTGGCTCCTGACTCCCCACCACCAACAACCACATCCCATCCCAGGAGGACTTGCTCGATCCTGTTCCCAGGCAGTCCCTGGATGTAGATTGTTCTCTTCTGGCTTCTCTAAGAATTCTGACCTACTGACTCCCTCAAAATCAAAATCCAATTTGCCTTACCTAGGTAACCTTAGCCATTTTATACCTGTTGATTTGTCTGGGTTTTATAATGTTTGTGTATGCCAAGTCACTATAATAAGAGTATAAGACTGGGGTCAAGGTCTCATTTTTGCTGTAACCCTCCCAGGGGCTTAGCATGGTGCTGAGCATGGAGTATAGGCTCAATGGATGACCACTGAATTAAGGAATTTGTTTTTATATGCAGCTTCTGAGTTCTTATAGAGTGATAAACTTGGCCCCGGGAAGTGAATGGATTCTTCTACCACTGCTCATTCATCTTGTAGTCCTTTATTTAGTACCAACTATGTGCCTGGAAATCTGTTCCCACTGTTGTGACTTCAGAGATGAATAGGACATGGTCACTGGGCTCTGAATTCACTAATTGTGAAAAAGCAAATATTCTTCAAAAATACAAGAGCATTGGGAGTGTTTTGCACAAATTGTTGTAGGACTGAATGGGATTCAAGACCGGATCCAAGTATCTGCTGAGATTGAACCAAGGCTTTACAGAATATATATGTATCTGAGCTGAGTTTTGAAGGATGAATAGGAGTTTTCCAAGGAGGGAGAGAGCAAGGCAGAGGGACTAGCATTTATTTAATTAAAGATTTATTGATAACATGTACCAGTCTATAAATAAAGAAACCCCTGAGCCAGGAAACCTTTTGCTAAGGAGTTTATCACTTGTTCCAAAATGGGTCTTGCCAATGGTTCTCAACCAAGGTCAGTACTGCACACTCTCAGAGAGCTTTTGGAAGTGTCTGAGCATGTTTTGGGTCATCCCAATGATCTGTTGTGCTACCAGCATTTAGTGTCCAGCAGGGACGTGAGACAATTCCTCAGTAATGAAGAATTGTCAGAAGCATGGAGGCATGAAAGAGGCATGGGTACTGTGGGTATAAGGAATGGTAAGACATGACTCTGGAGAGGTAGGCAGGGGCCAGGTCAGAAAGGGCTGAGGGTGCCATGAGGGAGGGGAATGACACAGCAAAGGCATGGATGGGGAAGTGATCTCAACTTATAAATGGTGTGGTAGAAAGCATGTGTGGGGGCGGGGGTGGGGTGGGGCATTGTCAGGAGATAGGACCAGGTGAGTGAGGTGGGCTCCAAAGGAGACCTTCCACGCTCTTCAAGTGTGCATGGTGGGCTTGGATCTGCTCTAGGCTGAGCAGCTGTGAACCACGGCAGAAGGCATGTCCACTGAGGTGTCAAATGAAGAGGGAGCTTTCGATCTAGCCCAATGTCTTCTTGGGACACTTGGTTCTGGACTCCACATAACATTATTATTCACCTGCCTTTTCCGCTGTCTCTTTGTCCCCCCACACTTTTGGCTTCCTGTTCACCTTCACCTCCTCTTCCCTTCCCTCATCCTTTCCACACCCTCTCTGGTTCCCTCCTCCTTCTCATTGAGCCCCTCCCCTTGGCCTTTCCCTGCCTGTCCACAGAAAATGATGAAGAAAGAAGCTCTTCTCCTCATTCCCAACGTCTTGAAAGTTTTCTTGGAAAATGGGCAGATCAAGTCATTCACATTTGACGGCCGGACCACTGTCAAGGTACCTAGAATCTCCTCTCCCTGGTTAGCATTGCCCTCTCTAGAGTACACCAAGCTATTTGTCCTATGTTCCTCTGAGTCTGCCTGTAGCTGCTCACTACTGGAACAGGACCTTGGAGCCCCCAGTGCTTATGAACACAGCCTAGGAAAACACACAGCCCTCAGAGGAAGGGGATGGTGGAAACTTGCATTCCTAACTGTATTCTAGTAATTGTAAGACTTGATGTGTGCATGTTCGGACACATAGGTAGGCAGGCCTACCTGTGAGCTGCTTTGTGTTCCTGTGATGTGGAATCTTCAGGACTCCGGGCACCATGGGGTATGAGGATCATTAAACCATTTACAAAGCAAAAGTGATTTATAGTGATATAAGAACACTTACACAAACTTACAGCAGACAGAAACAAACACAAGTGCCCGGGAGATTAATTTAGCCGTGCCTTGCTTTTTAAATAACAACCAGATCTCAAGCATTGAACCAAGATTTGGAAAGTCCAGCCACAGCCCCTTTGGCTATTCTTTTCACAGGAAGAGCAATTACTGAGACATGATTCTTAACAGCTCAGCCAAGCGTCAGAAAGTCCTAGTGATTCTCTTAGTTCCGAGGAGGACAGGTGATGATAACATTAACCCGTGGGTTCAGTCTGCTGTGGAACAGAAATATCTGTCCCTGCTTCTTCTGGACTCTCTCCAGAAAGAGAATGCCAGCCCTAGAATGGGTGACTTACTCCAACCAATGCTGCCTACTGTGCTGGGCAGCCTACCCAGAAAACCAACCTTGGCCAACAGGTATTCTGTGGTTCCTATACTTGGCGGCCAACACAACCCTAAATCCCTGGGCCAGGGAACTTTTGCCCACTAGGGGTCAGTACCCTACACTCTCAGGGAGCTCTAGGAAATGAGTGAGTGTTTTGGGAGTCATCTCAATGATTTACCAAGTTACTGGTATTCAGTGTCTCAGAGTCAGAGATGCCAAGTGTTCTGTAGGGAGTAAGTAAGACAGTCCCTGAATGATGAACAATTGCCTTGCCCAAAGTTCCAATAGCACCGTGGTTGTGATACACTGTGCTGAAGCCATGTTGATGGAGCCAACAGTTTAGGTGAAAGGCTTAGGCCTAAGTGGGTTCCCCATGGGATCGAGGACCAAAATGACTCTTTAGAGTGCCATGAGATGGTCTCAGGCTAAGGGAGGGAGCACTGAAACTGAGCTCATCTACCCTAGGGATGGATGTCCAAATGGCCCTCCTCCAGATGTAGCTATCTCTTTGTGTTGGGATCCTCTTTGGTCTTTATTCATGGAATGGTGTGTCCACTGTAAATCCTGCCTCCACACTGGAGCATTTACTGCCCTCTCTTTCCCCCTTGGAAGCTTCTCCAAGCACTCTCCCACCTGACATCATCACCGCCATTATGGCTTCCAGGGAGCACCAGCCCTTCACAACAGCAATGTTCCCCTCTCTCATGATCTTTATACAGCCTTCAGGAAGGGGCCACTGGCTCTTCATGGGAGCTCTGACAGGCTGCCAAGCCACTTGTCCCAGAGAGGTACCTGGGTGAATTGACAGCCTGGCACAGGGGCCATTACACTTGTAACACCAGTTGGCAATCACTGGCTTGGCTGTCCACAATCCCAGTGCAGCTGAGCTGCAAAGAAAACCTCATCTGTCCCTGCCAGAGCTCCAGCGACACTGGCGCTTCTGTGACTACTTGGATAATACAAAGAGATCCTCTCAAGTACCCACCAGTTTCCAGCTGAACATCTGAATGGCTGAACATCTTTCAGCGTTCACAGAGGGGCTTGTTTGGCAGCCCTGGCTGTAAGAGAGCTTCACAATCTCAAGCCTGCTTCTTTCCAGCCTCTGGGGGCTGAGAGATGCTGCCTCCGTGAATGCAGGTGCTGGAGTCCGGTGCACAGATATGCAGAAGTCACAGCAAATGCATGGCAGAAGTCTCACAAGTGACACCCAGGCAGCCCCCTCCGACATGTTTCCAGACACCCAAATATTAAAAGTAGGGCAGCAGAGCAGATGGAGCACAGACGCACTCAGAGTTATGACTGTACACAAGACATGTGACATAGTTCCTCAGTGTGGACACATTTTTCAAGTTGCTAAATTGATCTTCTATGAAAGCCAGCCACAGTCAAAAATGAACATTCTGCCAGTAACTCAAGTCATTTGATTTAGATTCTGAATCTGGAAATAGTACACTTTTTAATCATATAAATGTATCTTTTGCTTTTGGTAATTTCTATGTAAAGAGTTGACAGACAAACCAAAGTGGACCTTCTGACTTCTGAGAGTGAGGCCACGACCAGCAGTGTCTGGCACTTAGTAAGAACTTAGGAAGTAATTTGCTGAATGGAAGGGGGAGGGGGAAGGGGAGGGAGAGGCAGGATTTCCAATTGCCCTATGCCTGGCCAGGCTAATTCAGAAACCCCTACCCCCATCCCCTGCACCTTTGGTGTTCCCCATGGCTCGGGCCTCTGAGCAGCACTCGGGATCATTTTACCCATCCTAAAGCACAGTGCTGAAGGCCAGTGTCTCCACCTTTTCTCCAGGGCTGTCTTTCTTGCTTTTCCATTCCGTGTCCACCACACACACACACACACACACACATGGTTAGTGCTTAGAGGGGCTCAGAGCCATAACAGAGCGCCATTTCAAGGCTCTTTTCTCTCTTATAGGATGTTATGGTGACATTACAGGACCGTCTTTCCCTGAGGTACATTGAGCACTTTGCTCTTGTCCTTGAGTACGCTGGGCCAGAGCAGAATCACAAGTTCCTGCTTCTGCAAGACAAGCAGCCCCTGGCTTATGTAAGTAACACCTCTATCCTGGCTGATGGCTTTGCATGTGGCCTCTGCTAGAGAAAAGAACCCAAAGTACTCCCTGCCTGGAAAATTCATAATGATATGCTCCGCCAGCTCCCAGAACGCACAGTTCTCACCCAAGATTGGTACTGCCCACCTCCAGAGGGCCTTTGGCAATACCCTTTGTGACCTAAGAAGGGCACAAAGATCATTAATCTTTAGTGAGAAGAGTGGGAGGTGGTGCTTTACTGCAGAGCACGCGGGATACTGAGTTGACAAGCAGTGGCACGTCTCCTAGAAACCCAACCTGCTAGGCTTTTCTTTTTCCTGAGAGCAAATTTGGCCTTTTCACATGAAGGCTATACTGTAAGGTTGGGGGATGGGATCTTCTGAGAGTAGGACAAGCAGGAGCTGGGAATGGGCAAGTGGGGGCAGGGCCAAGAATAGGCAGCAAGTCACCCATATCCACTTTCAAGATAGAGTAGGGGAAAATAGCTGATTGTCCTGGTCTCTTGCAACGTGCAAAAAGGCTAGGGAAATGCAAGACTGCTGCATAGGATCTCACCAACAAGAAATATCAGAAAGTGCTAGAGAGGCAACCAGGAGCAGTCAGTATTACGCGGTGGGCTGGAAAAATGGTTGGAGAGGGAAATTTGGAAGAAACATCTTTAAAGAACCTATGTGGAAGCTGACCAAAAACCAAAATCAGACATACACCAAAAGGGATTTTTGGAAAGAAATATTCTTCGCATCTAGCTCTCAGCCAAATGCAATCCAGAGACTCAGAGGTGGAAAGGAAAGGTTGTGGGTGTCCTGTTCAAAGGGAGTCCAAAGTGCTCTCCGAGCCTCCAAGTAGTCTTTAAGTTGATTGGTCTCTTGTTCCAAATGGGATGTTGTACGTTTTTATTATGCAAAATGTTAAGTACATGCAACAGTAGAAGAAATATAATATAGTGAACCCTGTGAGCCAGTCCACGTTTCAATCCTTAGCAATATGTGACCAACTTGTTTCATTTTTTCATTGATACTTCCAAATTAAATTGCAAATTTCTGATTTGGCTTCTAATCAGAAACCAAATTCCACTTGAGGCTGAGCCCCTCTGCAGAGTAAAGGCCTAAGCCCCAAGGCAAGAAGAGTCTGAGAAACTTCCAGCTACCCTCTCTTCCTGCTTACTGTCTTAGGCCTTAGACCCAGTTGTCAATAAAGATCATATCCTGGATAAGCAATGAAAAGACACCAGTCACTTTGGGTCATAAGGACAGAAAGATCTGTCTCCTCATCACTTTCCATCAAGGGTACATTAGTCCCTCTTCATGGTGGAAGATATGTTCTAAGACCCCTAACAGGTGCCTGAAACCCCACATAGTACTGAGCCCTATCCATACTATGTTTTTTCCTCATCATATATAACTATGATAAAATGTATTTTATAAATTAGACACAATAAGAGATAAACAACAATACTAAATAATAAAATAGGACAATTACAATATATTGTAATAAAAGTGATTTAATGAATTCCTTATTTCTAATGCTTCCCATTTAATATTTTTGATCACAATTGATCTGTAGTAACTGAAACCACAGAAAGCAAAAGCATGAATAAGGGGGAACTACTATATATGCGTGGGCCAGAGCAGGGAATAACAACCTCACTCTGCCCAACGCCCCACCTTAAAGAGCCACACAGCTGGCTTCCCACAACCCCGGCCATTGATTCCATATCTTTTCTTCCCACCCTGGGATTCAGGTGGTGCAACGGACACACTACCATGGGATGAAATGCCTCTTCCGAATAAGCTTCTTTCCCAAAGACCCCGTGGAGCTGCTGCGTCGAGATCCTGCTGCTTTTGAGTACCTGTACATCCAGGTAAGGTCTGGCTTGGGGACACACAGACAGAAAGACCAGTGAGCAAACAGGCAGGCTATTCTGCCATCACGATGAAGTCAAAAGAACTACCCTGGCTACTACAGTTCCTGTGTGCATAAACTTAACAAGGGCAGGGTGCACTGTCCGTGAAGGCACCCAGGAAGCAGCTTGCCAAGTCTACATAGGAGAGAGACAGTGAAGGCTTCAGAGAGGAGGTGATAGATGCATGTGCTTAGCCACGAAGCATGAGTGAAAGTTTGCTCTGTAGAGAGATGGAGTGGAAGGGGCATGTTTAACACAGGGCCTTCCATTCACAAAAGCATGGTGCCATGAAACAGCATAGCGTGATGAGAGAATGGTAAGTGATTTATCAGGGCTGGAGTATAGCATGTGAGGTAAAGAGCAGCAGGAAATGAAGTGGGACAGACAGGAACCAGGTGGTGAAGGACTTGGGAGCCTTTATGATTGCAGCCGGGAAATGGTCCTCAAAGTGCACCGCCTGAACCAGCAGCATCTTCATCAGGTGGAAACTTGTAGAGGTGCAAACACTTGGGCCTCAGCCCAGTCCTGCTGAATCAGAAACCCTGGCAATAGAGTCCGGTGTTTATGTTGTAATAAGTTCTCTAGAGGATTCTCACGCCTGAGGGCCACTGAGAACCACTGTTGAAGGAAAGTGATACTTGAACTAACTGCACATTAGAATTATCTGGGAAGTTTTGGAAAAAATTCTCTGCCCCTACCAAGATTAATGAGGTAAAAATCTATTGGAGTGAGGTCCAAATTGTGGTACTTTTTAAATTCCTTAAATAATTTTTTAAAGATTTATTTCATTTATTTGAAAGACAGAGTTACAGAGAGAGGTAGAGACAGAGAGAGAGGTCTTCCATCCACTGCTTCACTCCCCAGATGGCCACAATGGCTGGAGCTGCACCGATCCGAAGCCAGGAGCCAGGAGCTTCCTCTGGGTCTCCCACGTGGGTGCAGGGGCCCAAGGACTTGGGCCATCTTCTACTGCTTTCCCAGGCCATAGCAGAGAGCTGGATCAGAAGAGGAGCAGCCAAGACTAGAACCGGCGCCCATATGGGATGCTGGCACTTCAAGCCAGGGCTTTAACCTGCTGTTGCACAGCGCCGGCCCCCCTTAAATGACTCTGATGTGCAACCAAAGAAAAGAAATTCTGTTGGAGAGTGGAGGCACAAAAAATGATGAAAGGAGAATGGCCTGGTCAGATGAGCAATTTGGAAACATCGCACAGTGCCAAGGAAGAATACCAGATAAGGAGCTGTGGCAGTTATCCAGAGGTGAAATGATGAGGATTGGAACAAAGGCCTTGATGGGGGAGGGGAATTCAAGAGAGATTGAAAAAGTAGAATCAATAAGCTTTGATTTGATGAGTGCCTTATAAAGGTGGTTTAATTCCCCAAGTTTGGGAATACAAGCGGTGGAATGTATTGGAGGTGATAATGAGCTCATTTGGGGATATATTGAGTTTCAGCTGCCCATAGGACATACAGAGAACTTGACGAGAGAAAACACTTCAAACTTTCTCCTGTCTCTAATGATGACATCTGAGGATGTGCTATGAGGCCTCATGGTTGTCCCTTCGGCCCCTTCTGACAACCTAGAATGTTTGGGAACATTTCTCAAACAGCCTCAGGTTCCTTCACCAATCCTCTGAGGCAGTGAGATGGGGTTGCTCTATGAATGTTTTCTTTTCTTTTT